TTTTTAAATACCTTATGTAATTATAAATTAATACAATAATTAAATTAAACAAATTTACAATATACTTGTGTGGCCATATAGCTATGGCTATTATTGAGCTTCTGTTGTTTTTTAACATTACCAAAGAAAACACACCTACACAACCTTTTAGCTAAGACCATCAGTTGCATATAGGAGACAGTTATCAACGGTTAACCTCTTATACTTTTTCTTTTCTCAAAACCATTAGGGTATTTCGGATTTATTTTTGTACATTTCAAAACTATTTCTTCCCTAAATAATTTTTATAGTCCATTTCATATGAATCTAGTACATTGAAGAAATTTTTTTTTTTTAAGGTATTGATTTTAAAACCTGTATGGTAAACCTTTATACTCCCTTCTTTTAACATTTCTTTTAACATTTATAATTAAGATTTCTCTAGATTATGCTTTTATCTTAAGAATGCATATTCTATGTCGATATGATACATTTAACAAAATTAGTGTCTTTAGTTGGTAACTCTAAGACTTGAACTTGAGTTTACCTATAAAACAATATTTACTTATTGATCTAATTTTTAAGCTATTTTATCCTCTCTTTGAAAAATTGGAGAAACTGTTTTTCAAAAAAAAAAAAGAAAGAAAAGAAACAGCGTTTAAATCTCTGGCCGCAGTTTTAGGGGCTAAGGAGACAAATCACAAAATTCAAGCCCGTGAACGCTGCATGTGATCTTCGAGAGCTGTTATAATCTGTGCCCCTCACAGCACAGAGACCCACTCACATGTCTCTTTTTGGCTTTCCCTTCCCAACAAATTTCTAAACAACTAGAAAATTTATTGAAGAATTTCAAAAGAAATGTATTCAATTTCGACATGAGTTACATAAATTGATACTTTTCATAATTGAAAAAGATATCTTTTGTTATATAATTCTAAAACATTTAATCATAATCAAAAGGTCAAGAAAGTTATACTTGTTATTATAGCATTGTTTCTTTAATGTCTATGAGCTCTGCTTGTATTGAAGCATTTTGTCACATTATATTGTAAGAATTGTATATATCATCAACAAATATTGTCAACAAGTAATTTTCTTAAACTATATAGGTTTAAGAGAGTTTTTATGTAATCTTGACTTACACAAAAAAATGAGAGTAATGTTGAGTACATGATGTTATTGGCGTCCTTTCTATTATTGTACCATTTAATCATATAATCAAAAGGTAGAGAAAGGCATGCTTGCTAATTTGCTATTCTAACATTTTGTATCGTAGTAGTGTATACGAGCTTGGCATGTATTGATAATTGAAGTGAGGAGGATGTGCAGTTTGTATGCGCCAAACAATTAGATGAGTCACGTGCAATGATGTTTATACACATGCCATAAATGGGTCCCCTGCAAAACCATATTGTTGAGCTTGAATAAGTTCCAACCAAAATTCACAAGGAGAGAAGAAAAGATGAATGATATTATAGAGAAAAGGGAGAATTAAACATAAATGCCTAGCATTATCAAAGCATAATCTTTGCTTATATTATTGACACAGTGTCATTGGGGTCCCTTCTCCTATTTATACCAAAACCTATCACTTTTCTATGGCCAACTTAAGAAGCCCTTTCTTTTGGTTTCCCTCCTCTGTTTCTTTCCCTCACAAGCCTAGAGACACATAAAAATGACAGGTTTCAGTTTGAGAAGCCTTACATTTATGATGTTCATTGCATTTCTTGTTTGGTCGTCAAGTATGGAGAGCTGCAATGCCAGGAGAGGTAGGCATTGGAGGGAAAACAGGCACGTTTTCCCGTCACTTGGAAAGAAGAAAGGTAAAGTTCATGGCAGCACTCATCACCAACAAAAGGGAGGGTCAAAGCCAAAAGTTCATCCTCCTACCTTCCCTCCTCAGAAAGCTCTGCCACCTCCTTCAGCTACCAAGCCAATAAAAGAAACCCCGCAGAGCCCATTGCCACCACAGAAAGGTCATGAAAGCATCCAGCAGTCTGCTGTCTTCAATGTGCTGGACTTTGGGGCCAAGGGTGATGGGACCACTGATGACACCAAGGTGATTTCCAATTCTCATTTATGCACAACAAAATGTTCAATGCTGCATAATAATTCATTGCTGCTATATCAAAGCTTCAAAATTTTCAACTTTCACATATTGGTCAAGTTATTCTAATTCATCAAAATGAACGAAATGCATATCAAGGAATTGTTGATAAGACAAAGACCTTGGTCCAATGGTTAAGGAACAGACAAATATTCTAAGAGGTATGATAATGAAATAATAAAAGAGAACTTTCAGTTGGACATACCTTAGCAACGACAATAGATCTCGTCATTGGACAAGTCAAGAAGATGGGTCCTCTGTTTTTTCGAAACTCATTGAAGAATAAGCATTGGGTCAGCTGATCAAGGTTCTTTCATTTTCAATCATCCATAAGCTTCATAGTAAAAGTCACAATAGGAGGAATTTTGTAAGAACAACAGTTCTTTTTTTTTTTTCCCTTTCTTCTTTTCCTGGTAAACAAGAAAATTACTGTCTATTTATGGTAAAAGTTTGAAACCCTATCTTAACTTCAAAATCAAGGTTTTGAAGTTAGTTGATACTTGAAGGCCACAAAAAGGGAAAAATGTTAGTTGATACTGACTCGGGCAAGTCTTTTTGTTGAAAGTTGAACTGCAACAAACTTAATAAGCCATCCTGCAAGGTTAAAAATTTTGGGTTAAAATCTGGGGTAAACAAAATTTTGCAAATGGAGACAAGGGAAAAAGATAGCAGAATCACACCAAGACAACCAGATTGGGACCACTGGGTCCACTTGAATAAAGAAAAGATTCTAGTTATGGAGAAGTTAAGTAATTGCATACTGTTCTGGACTAACCAACACCAACTGTAAATTTGATGCGTATAGTTATTGTCCCACAGAAGGCATATAGCTAATTTGATATTGTGTTGCGCAGGCATTTGAAGCTGCGTGGTCAGCTGCTTGTAAAGTTGAGGCATCAATGGTGATTGTTCCAGCTGAATTCACATTCCTTGTGGGACCCATTTCATTCTCTGGTCCATACTGTCAAGCAAATATTGTATTTCAGGTAATGAAAGTCAAAATAATTCATGTCATGATATCAAGTCAAGTACCTTCAGCTTCTAGTAAGAATTTATACTTCCTATTAAGGCTGATGAGATGATTTTTCTCAGCTGGATGGCACGATCATTGCTCCTACTGATTCCGAGTCTTGGGGTAGTGGTCTTTTACAATGGCTTGAATTCACAAAGCTGAGAGGTATAGCAGTTCAGGGAAAAGGTATCATTGATGGAAGAGGCTCAGGATGGTGGCAGGATTCCCCTTTCGAAGATCCAACAGATGATGAAATGAAACTCATTGTCCCATTAAACAACACATTACAAGAAAGGCCACCAATGCCGGTAATTACCTACTTCAGTTCTGCCATTCTATCATCAATTCTCTGGCCATTTCCAACTAATCATGCTTCTTGGGTAAATCATGTGGTAGGTCAGAAGTGAACTCAGTGGGAAAATGCCAAGCATCAAGCCAACTGTAAGGACCACTTGAAACTTTAAAATTGCAACCATATTTCTTGTCCATGCAGTCTTGTAATTTGTTCTTGCTTTCTGCTTGTACAGGCACTGAGGTTTTATGGGAGTTTCAATGTAACTGTCACGGGCATAACAATTCAAAACAGTCCGCAATGCCACCTGAAGTTTGACAACTGCATAGGGGTCGTGGTGCATGATATGAGCATTTCATCTCCTGGTGACAGCCCAAATACAGATGGAATCCACTTGCAGAATTCCAAAGAAGTGCTAATTCATGGCACCAATCTTGCTTGCGGTAATTACATTCCTTGGAAATTCATATGCTTTCAATACGATATTCAATTAAACAAAGGTGGACCATAGGTTGAGCTCCTCTCTCAATAAAAAAAAAGAAAATACAACCTGCAAAGTCAAAGCTGAGGTTATAAGCTAAAGATAAGAACTTTTGAACCTCAGAATGTGGCTGACTGACAACATAACAGAATCTTATCTTCCTCTTAACTTTATTCACACATTCTTAACAGCACCAATAACTTGATGAGTGGCAAAAGCAACATCCAAAATTTCAAGGATTACAGCCACCAGTATGGATGAACTATCAACCATACAATACAGGATTAGGTTTGAACCCATTCAGAACCAGAACACAGTTTTGTTATTCTTTTTGAAGTTTTCTTTTGTCTCTACTTATAGCTAGTATGTCTACTCCCACCCTGGTATCCTCTTGTCTACTTCTGATTTGAAATGGGTTCTTTTGTCAAGTTTGTGCTTTTGGGAAGGGAAATAACAATTAGCTGCCATTGAGTAGGAAACAGTCTATGCATAAATGAGGATCACCAAGAAAAATAATGGACCAGCTCCAAAACTAAAGCTAAGCAATAATTAGATATATAATATTTCAAAATTATGCTCATATAAAGCTCTTAGAAATATCTAATGTTTTGTGCAGGGGATGACTGTATCTCAATACAAACTGGATGCTCAAATGTGTATGTACACAATGTGAACTGTGGTCCAGGACATGGAATTAGCATTGGAAGTCTGGGAAAGGATAATACCAAAGCCTGTGTCTCAAATATCACTGTTCGAGACATCATTATGCATGACACAATGACTGGTGTCAGAATTAAGACTTGGCAGGTAACTACCTAACCTCCAATCTAACATTGTTAAATACTCATTCACATTTCTGAGCAATATAATCAGAAAACTAGTCAATTAGATGAACTAAATTGGATTCTAAATAAATCCAACAGACAATTAAAGACATTTCCTTAACCATAAATCATGACAACAATCATTCTGGATGAAATGTAACCATTTTCTTTAACCATGAATCATGACAAGAATCATTCTGGATGAAATGTTACATACCATACATTGATACCTAAGTTGATAAGGTGTTAACACCAAACAAATGTTTCCTTCTGTTATAGAGCTATCTCACCTAAAAAAAAGAAAAAGAAAAAAAAAAAAAAAGGGAAAAGAAAAGAAAGAAAGAAAGAAAAAGAAGGGGGAAGAAGAAGAAGAAGAGATGGACTTCCTCTGGTAGAATTCTTCACTCTTGTGTTCTAATCCTAGACAAAAGCCACCAGGAAGAATGCTTCATTCTCCAAGTACTTCATAACACGTCTAACCTGCTAGCACTGATTCTAACATATTGTTTCAAATGTCATATCTGCAGGGTGGATCAGGCTCTGTACAGGGGGTAATGTTCTCAAACATTCAAGTTTCTGAGGTGCAACTACCAATTGTGATTGACCAATTCTACTGTGACAAAAGTTCGTGTATGAACCATACATCTGCTGTTGCTCTCTCAGGAATCACATATGAAAGAATAAGAGGAACATATACAGTAAAACCAGTACACTTTGCCTGTAGTGACAGCCTACCATGTACAGGTGTGACTTTATCTGGCATAATGCTAAAGCCAATGCAAGAACAGTACCACCTCTACAATCCATTCTGCTGGCAAACTTTTGGAGAGTTGACCACTCCTACTATCCCCCCAATTGGATGTTTACAGATTGGAAAGCCACCAAACAACCATGTTCAATCTGATCATGAAGTATGTTGAGCACGGCATAGGTAACTTATAGTGTAGTCACTTGTGTGGTCAGCAACATTCTGGCCCCTTTTACACCACAATAGCTAATTAAAGCATAGATTGTATGTTTAAGCTATCCCACCCTATAGGAATTCTTCTATGATAAGATTACCCCTCGTTTTCATTCCATGAGAGTATACTATACGGGCATGCCATCCACTAGAATGTGATACTAGAGTATGAGTTGCCTTGTTCATTTCGACAGAGTTATTTGATTGTGTGAGATATCAGACATTATTTTGTTTGCCATTGTAAATCAAACAAGGCACTTTATATAGACATTTGAAACTTAATGTAGCACAATCACCAAACACTTAGATGACTACAAAAGCATCAGGCTCAACAAAATTGATGTATAAATGCACAAACAACAATGCTCAAAGCATGAAAAGTTGTTTAGGGCATTAACAAAAATCATAATACAAGCAATAACCATTCGCCTAGTAAGGAATAGCAAAGTGAATTAGATGCTTCAGAAACTAAGACAAATAAATGATAACAATAAAAAAAAAAAAAAAGAAAGAGAAGAAAGGACAATATCAGATATCATCATAGAGGGAAAAGGGTCAGCTCTTTTCTCTCATGACATTGTTAAGTCAATGTCTTTCCCATAACCAAACATAACCAAATATTAGCAACATTCCATCTCATTCCATTCTCCAGTTGAAGATCTAAAACATCCACCGAAACTTAAGGGACCAAAAGATAAAATTAACTTTTGAAGATCTAAAACATCCACCTAAACTCAAGGGACCAACAGATAAAATCAACTTTTGACTCCCAACCGGCCACTCCCATGCCTCTACCGTAGCAAAACCTAAAATCCATAGACCATGGAGTTGACTCCAAAATCTATGCCAAACGTGGCTCTTCCTTAGCAACTACATAGAAGTTGGACCAATTAATAGACAACATAAATTTCATCATGCACTAGTTAAAGCCATTCTTAAGTGTCACACAATTTCAGTGACAATTAAAAGATACATCAGATGAAACAACTTGCACCATAAGGAGCAAAATCAACCAATAGATTTGCCTCGAAATTAATAGCTGCATTAATTAAGAAAATTCCAGTACCTAAACAGATGGATCAGAAGATTATCCGGCGTCATTATCCTCCATCTCCATCCCCTTGAGCAACCGGAGACGGAGGAACTTCCTGATCTCCGCCGTCCACAGTCCATCCCATTTTCAGGAAATTGCTGCTTTTTGCCTGATCCATCACACTGCACCGTTTTCTTTTTTTTTTTTTGGTTTCCCGCCCGTATCCGGGTTTCGCCCCGACTAATTTAGATCTGACCCGCATCGCGCACCTGAGAACGATGGATGAGTCTACCAGCTACTACATACACAGTCTCAAACTCGAAACTTTATGAACAAGCCGTTTATCACCTCATCCAACCGTTTTCTTCCTTATACCAAAACGCACGGTTTCATGACTCTCCCGCCAATTTGCAAAACGCATCGTTTTCCAACGTCAGTTGGAGACTGACAGTGCCATTGAGATCTGAACCTTATCTTATCCGGGAGAGCGGGACTTCCCATCCCATACAAAAGCTCTGTACTTTCCCAAAAAGAGTCAAGAGGTCAACCCCAATGGCGCAAATCTCACAGAAGGAACTCAACTCTCTGAGACGGAGAGTTGCGTCTGTCGCCAACCATCTCCTTTCGGCTGGTTCGACTTCCGGCTCGGGTTCCATTGCCCTATCCAATGCTTCAATGAACGACAGCTACCATCGTACACATGGGAAGGTTCCGACTCACCCAGTTGTTTGGGAACCTGCTTTTGACGACTCTGGGAAGAAATTCATCGATATTATTTATGCGAAGGCGGTCGGTGAAGGCATTGCAAAGGTGTGAACTTGGCTCTGATAAAGGCGCCGGTGATGACTTGTGAAGATGCTAATGGATTCAATATTGCTTCTTTTTTGTGGGTTTTTGTTTTAGATCACGATAAATCGTCCAGAGAGAAGAAATGCGTTCCGGCCGCAGACAATCAAGGAGCTTATGCGTGCATTTAATGATGCAAGGGATGATGCTGCGGTGGGAGTCATAATTCTCACCGGGAAAGTAATTGATTTCTTTCGAAGCTATGCTTTCTTTGGAAAGTTCTAGAATTTCTGCTATTGATGAACTACTGTCCTGACAGGGAACCGATGCATTTTGTAGTGGTGGTGACCAAGCCTTGAGGACAAAAGATGGTTATGCTGATGACGCAGATATAGGCCGGCTAAATGTCTTAGATTTGCAGGTATAATTAAATCCCTCACTGTTCGAAAAAATGATAATCCTTATGTTGGATTCAATTTGCCTTCTTAGTCAATGGAGAAACCCAACAAATGAATATTGATGATTATATGTTTGTTTTGATTGATATTTGAAAAACTCTATTTGGTTACTTCATCTTTGTTTATCTTTATCAATACGCAGATACAGATAAGGCGGCTTCCTAAACCTATAATAGCAATGGTATGTTCTTGTTAATCCCACACTGTGGTGAATATGAATTTTATGCATTTTTACGGAGTATGAAGTTTGAACATCATGGATTCAGGCTGCATGTTTGGTTCAGCTTGTTTAAAATGTTGTGCAGTTCCTTTACCGAGCTTCTCAACGTTAGGTCAATGCCTGATTGCAAATTACCTTGTTGTTTTTCTATACATAACTCTTTTTCTTGTACCAGGTTGCAGGTTATGCTATTGGAGGAGGACACGTTTTGCACATGGTTTGTGATCTAACCATCGCAGCAGATAATGCTGTTTTTGGCCAAACTGGCCCTAAGGTGCATCTATTGTACCTTGTTATTTGTTCAGCTTATGGTTTTAACCCTTTTGTTCTCACTTATCCCACACGAGCAAATTTTGATAGTAGATGCCTTTTTTATGGTTGCCATTTCTGATTTTGGCCAGTTTAACAACTTCACATGTTAATTATTGTCAACCTATTTCTACTTTTATTATTTGCTATTAGCCATGTTTATTCTGCTTCATTTCATCTATCTTTATGTGACAGGTAGGAAGTTTTGATGCTGGTTATGGAAGCTCCATTATGTCCCGATTGGTAAGCTTCAATAATAATATTCTGTTTAATCCAACCCGGCATAAATATTAACCTCAGTCCCCTTTATTTTCATCATGAAATTCGACAATGTGGTTTCTGTGACTTTTAGTTTTAAGTGACATTTTTTCCTAGCTTGTCATTTATGAAACTCTTTTGGGTTTAGACACTAACAAATTCATGAATTTCTCTTTATGTTAAATAGATTGGACCTAAAAAAGCACGCGAAATGTGGTTTCTAACTAGATTCTACACGGCATCTGAAGCAGAGAAAATGGGACTTGTTAACACTGTTGTGCCGGTGAGTTTTTTACTTCTTTCAATCAGTTTTCCAATCCTCTTGCTGCCTGTTCCATGAAGCATGCATTTAACCAATCATAATAGCTAAGATTAGACTGCTTCCTGATTTTCTCCAGCTAGAGAATTTAGAGAAAGAAACAGTTAAATGGTGTAGAGAGATTCTGAGAAACAGCCCAGCTGCCATTAGAGTGCTCAAATCTGCTCTAAATGCAGTTGATGATGGTCATGCTGGCCTCCAGGTAGTTGCATTCCTTGCAGACCATATTTGAACACAATGCATGGACAATTAAAATCCCTCCATTTACTGCTCAATTCCAAAACTGGTATGGTTTGACTTCTTTTACAGGAACTTGGTGGAAACGCGACCCTCCTGTTTTATGGCACTGAGGAAGGTAACGAGGGTAAGAATGCATATCTGCAGCGTAGACGCCCAGATTTCTCAAAATTTCCCCGAAGACCTTGAACCTTTTAGTCCCACACATCTTTATTTGTACCCTATATGTAACCATTTTTCAATGAATCTTAAAATTCATTTCGACTTTGGTTGCTTTCTCTTTTCACGAAGGGAGTCTTGCATTTAGATTCTAGACATAACTAAATTCTCACGACTTTCGTGTGTGAAAAGTTGAACGTGGCTTTGAGGAAGCAATGGATGGAGCACCGCTTGTATCAGGGTCCATTTGGTTAGAGGCAATCTCTACTAAAGAAAGTTTTTATTGGGAAATTAATTATGACTCTATTAAAAAGTTAAGAAGAAAAATTGTTAGAATTTGTTGGAATTTTATTAAATTGTTAATTTTTTGTGTTTGATAAAAAATTAATACAAAAAAAAAAGTTAGTAAGAAAAATTGTTAAATAGATTTAATATAGAAAAAGTCAGGGAAAATTTTCCTCTTCAAAAAAATGAGAAAAAAGGTTTATGAATTAAGAATTGTGCTAAAAAAAATGAAAGCTAAAAATATCACTTTTATTTTTTATTTATTATAATTTTGATATATATATATATATATGTATACTCACACCAAAACTATAACCTTAAAAAATGCTGAGGGAAACAATTACTAAGAAAATATGCCGAACTACCCCTAAGACTCGGTTAAAATACAATGTAAATATCTAATTTAAAATCAATTATCAATAAGTATTGTAACATTTTTAATGAGATACATATTTTTTATTATGTTTTGGTGTAAAATTTTTTCACTTAATAATTATATTAGTACCAATGTTTTATTGATTTGAGTAGGAGTTTGATTTTTTTTTTTTAAGTTTTTAAATTTAAATATTATAAATGAAAAAATAAATTTTAAGAGAGTTTTTCATTAAATTTAATCTGATTCAATTTCAAACATTTAAATTAGAAAAAAAAAAAAGTTATACTAGTGAGCTCACAAGTATGAAAATCTATTGAGGGTTTCAATTTACTGAAATGGCCTTATATTTATAAACAATTTTAAAAAAGTTAAAATATATAAGGGTAACATTTATCAGTTAGACATATAAAAAATTAAATGAAAAAATATTTTTAAACTATATTATTTTAATAAAATATTATAAAAAATTAAAATATCTTTATTTTTACTTTAAAAATAATTAAAATATTTTAATTTTTTAATAAAACTTTATTAAAACAAAATAATTTTAAAATATTTTTTCGATAAAAATTATATTAAAAAAATAATATAAAAAGATTTTCCACCAGCACACCCTTCATCCTCCTCTCTAAACTATCAGATTGTGGGACCAGCTTTCCACTGCGAACGTGGCAGCCTAATGTATCTTTCTCCAACCAGCAGTCTTCCATCCCTCTCCAGTCTCCACTCCTGTATCTCCTCTACCTCAACTGCATTGAGATTGCCGGGAACACCTTCCTCTGCGGTCCAGTTCTGATCCTCTCTGATTATGAGAATTTCTGAACAATAAATCCCTAAAACAATGAGTGGTAACGAGTTCCGCTTCTTTCTTTCCTGCGATATCAATCTCCCCGTCACCTTTCGCGTCGAGAGATTGGAAGGTACTCTGCCGAACGCCAAATCACCTCCCAATTCAGGTACGTCGCCTGTTTATTTTCCGGTAATTCTACTTTTGAATCGAAAATTGTGGTAATTAATGCTAAATTCAGCCAAAAACCACTGATTTTACTCTGGATTTGAATATATGAATCTAGCAGTTGTATTTGACTCCGAATTAGCTTCGGTTTTGATTATAGCTTCAGTGTTTCGAGAAATTAGAATAATATATTTGTTCGTTTGCAGTTTGCTGTGGCGGTGTGGCGCCATGGCAGATAGAAATTATGTATTCTGGCGCTTGTGATTTGAAATGTCTGAAAGTAGTCATTTTTTTTTAATTATCTGGGTTACTCGTTGTGACAGACATATTTAAAATTTTTTTTCAAATTTTAATTTAAAAAAAAAAAATTCATTTGCAGGAATTGATTCAACTGTAGAGGAGAGGAAAGCAGAACTTTTTGTGGAGTGTGCGTTGTACATTGATGGTGCTCCTTTTGGCCTTCCTACAAGAACAAGGTTATTCTCCTTTCTGCAAACTGTTTACTCCTGCTTTTAGTTTTTGAGAATGTGTGTGTGTGTGCGTGCGTGTGTGTGTGTGTTTTTAAGTGTTCCTACTTTTTATTCTTATTTTGCTCTTCTTGCCAGTTTGTGTTGAGCTATATCATATGTGTTTTGGGTGTTCTTTACATTGGTGTCATATTTTAAATTTTTTTTAAAATAATTTCTTTCTGCACCAGTTTGGAATCTGCAGGACCATCGTATTGTTGGAATGAACGGATCACCTTGAGTACTAAATATCGGGACTTAACTGCTCGCTCACAACTTGCTTTGACAGTTAGTAGCAACTTTAACCTAGCTTTCTCATTGTATTTATACTTTTATGTCTACATTTTCATACTTTTTATTTGTGTAAGTCAAGGAATTTGCAAGTTTGCCATGCATAATGAACAGATAAAGTTAATGCGTAATTCATCAATCTTACTGCTTGGTCAGCTTTGTCCTACACTTGTTCAATCCTTCCAAAACTTGTTTAACAAAACCTGTGTTGAGTTTCTCTGGGTAACCTTCCCCTTCTGGAGAAAGGTTCCTCATGGAGCTATCTGTTGCCTATATGTAGACACCACAATAACTTCTATTCTTTTGATAAGTGCCCCAGATTTATGCTCTAGAATTTACTTTACTTTTTGCATGTTGGCCATGTTGTAAGCTTTTCTAATAATTCATGTTTTCCTTTCTTCTTTATTTTACCTTTTCTTCTTGCGATTTTTTAGGTTTGGGATGTTTCACGTGGGAAAGACGAAGGGTTGATTGGTGGGGCTACCATCCTTTTATTTAACAGCAAGATGCAACTCAAAACAGGGAAACAGAAACTTAGGCTCTGGCTAGGAAAAGAAGCAGATGGTTCATTTCACACAACTACTCCTGGAAAGGTTCTGATTACCAATGTGCTTACAAGATCGATTACAATGTGATTGTCTTTGCCATTTTCATGAAATTCTTATATGTTTAATCTAAATGTGATGTATCCCACCATAGGTACCCAAGCATGAGCGTGGGGAGTTGGAGCGTTTGGAAAAGCTTGTGAATAAATATGAAAGGGGACAGATTCAACATGCTGATTGGCTGGATTGTCTTGCATTCAAGGCCATGGAGAGAATTAAGGAATGTGAAAGCTTAAGAAATGGAAGCTCTAGCTTATACTTAATCATAGATTTCTGTGGTTTTGAACATCGAGTTGTTTTCCAGGTAGTGCAATGCATTCATCAGATTACTTATTTTTAGTGTTTATGCTGAATCTTTATGATCCAGAAGCATATTTGCAATAAGATGAATAATTTCTTATCTTCTTTTCTAATATCTCAATTCCCATTCTTCAAATTTGAACATGAAAACTGAAAATGAAACGGTTGGTGCCTCAATTGAATGCCTCAATTGAAGCATCTGTGTATTACTTAATGAGAATGAACTATTCCTTTTTTCCTTTTTATTTTTACCTTTTTGGTAATTCCTTTGAAGTGGTGCTTTCTCAAAGCAACCCAGACTTTGAAAAGTTTGTGATGTCCTAGACGCCTTAATTTATCTGTGCCTTTTCATATAGAGTTGCTGTCATATAAAAAAAATAAAAAAATAAAAAACCTTTGTTAAAGTTTTATTGATGGTATGCAAAGGCTCAGAACTTTGTTATTTGGGGGTATGTATGTATGGAGTGGTACAATAGTTCAGTGCATGGTTCTGAGATATTGCTTTGAATCTTTTAATGCTAACCAAAATGATATTACCTTAATATCCTTTAACATGCAGGAGTCAGGGGCAAATTTCTTATTGCCATCTCCAATAGCCTCATCAAATGAACTTGTCATTGTGTGGGACCCAGAACTGGGCAGGATAAATCCCTCTGAACACAAGCAACTAAAGTTGGCTAGGAGTTTAACTCGTGGTATTATTGACAGGGATCTTAAGCCAAGCTCTAATGAACGGAAGTAAGTTTGAAGTTTGTAGTAACTGCTAGGGTTCAAAATATTTTGAAGTTTCATATTGTTTTTCAACATGGTTGTTGCCTGTGTAGGTCACATTTTAAACTGCCATGTAGTTAAGATGGATCTTTGTTGATTCTATACCTAGTATCTAAGCTTTGTAAAACCAAATTAAGTTTTATTTGTCAATATGATGTCCAGAGTTTAGTGCTCTTTAAAAGTGGCAGTAATGACAACTTTTCAGAGGCTTTTCTTTGCTATCTTTGTTGCATTGTTTTATCATTCTATCCATATATATCATTTTAAGTATTTTTTTCACATAATAGCTAGTGAAATTCTTCTCGAGTAAATGGCTTATTATCTCCTCTTTCCTTTTGTTTTAAGGATAATCCAAAGAATTTTAAAATATCCACCAACAAGGGCTTTGAGTGGAGATGAGAGACAGCTGCTTTGGAAATTTCGCTTCTCATTGATGTCTGAGAAGAGGGCACTAACAAAATTTCTAAGATGTGTTGAATGGAGTGATGTTCAGGTTACCATCCTTTTCTGCACTGCTCCACCTGCTACATGCTTTTTATGTGGTTAATGAACAAAAATGTCATTATTGAAGATTGATTTGTTGATGTATATGCAGGAAGCAAAGCAGGCAATCGAACTTATGGGTAAGTGGGAAATGATTGATGTCTGTGATGCATTGGAGCTTCTATCACCACTATTTGAAAGTGAAGAGGTAGGTCTAAGTAAGATTAGGATGGTTTGAAAGTGTCAGTTTCCCTTTCTTGGAACTCTGTATGCTGTCACAGTGATCTAGGCTGCTGTATCGTAGCCTTGTCACTCACTAGGCTTAATGGCATAGAGAAGCTTATGTAGTAGGCTGGATGAACTTTTGGAACTGGAAAGAGTCGAATTCAGTTATCCGTAGAGTATCACATCAACAGTTTGTCTAGATTTGTAGATAATCTACAATCTTATTTAGAACTGATTAATGCTTAATTCTCAATCACTCTTGACAGGTTCGTGCTTATGCTGTCAGCGTTCTTGAAAGAGCTGATGATGAAGAGCTCCAGTGTTACTTACTTCAACTGGTTCAAGCACTTCGGTTTGAACGCTCTGATAAATCTCGACTTTCTCAATTCCTTGTACAACGTTGTATGTACTTTAAACATGAGTATAGTGTGCATGAATATGCCTACAATTGTGTGCTAAAGAATGCACTTGGATCTTACATTTTAGTAATCTTAACTAGTTGTAGCATCTGAGAATGTTCTTGTACTTTTGCAGCTTTTTGTAATATTGGGTTAGCTAGTTTTCTTCGCTGGTACGTTGCAGTAGAACTTCATGACCCCACATATGCCAAACGATTTTATTCTACCTATGAGTTTCTGGAAGAGAATATGATGAAGGTATGGGTTCTCCATTTGCTATTCCTTGCAAGTTTTTTATTTTTTCTAATTTTTTTATTTGCCTGGAAGTACAGAATTGATTGTTCATAATGATAATTAACTGAGATATGCATTTGATTTACAGAGTGTCATGAGAAGATCTTTACCATTGAATTTTTTTTTTTTTAAATATTTGGTATAGAAATTGAGAATTTTTTTTTTCTATAGAAATTGATAATTTTCAACACCAGAATATGGGATTTTCTCTCTCTTTGTATTTTAGTGGTGACATCACATTGTAACAGTTGAAAGCTGGAGTGAATCGAGAAGAAGATGGATTCAAGATGTGGCATAGTTTGGTACGTCAGACAGAATTGACTGCCCAGTTATGTTCAATAATGAGGGATGTGAGGAATGTACGAGGCAATACACAGAAGAAAATTGAAAAGCTCAGACAACTTCTATCTGGCCTTCTTAGTGAACTTACCTATTTTGATGAGGTACTTATCCAACCTGAATTCCTCTCCTTGTAACCTTTCTAGGGTTCATACAGAACACTGTTATAATTCTGTTGAATTGAGAAAAGTATGCAATATTAACTTCAATTATCTGTTTTTACTGTTGTGTTTTCAGCCAGTAAGATCACCGCTTACTCCAAGTATTCTTATCACTGGAATTGTGCCTTCAGAGTCTTCAATATTCAAAAGTGCACTACATCCATTGCGTCTGACTTTTCGAACAGCTAATGGTGGAACTTGCAAGATCATATTTAAGAAGGGTGATGACCTTCGGCAAGACCAATTGGTAAATTCCACAACTTCACTGCCTTATTGATAGAAAATTGCTAATATGAGATATTTGTTCCCTAGGTTGTTCAAATGGTATCACTTATGGATAGGTTGCTAAAGTTGGAGAATCTTGATCTGCACCTAACTCCATATAAGGTGCTTGCTACTGGGCAAGATGAGGGCATGCTGGAATTTATACCATCCCGTTCTTTAGCACAGGTATTATATCCTTCAAAAGAGTGCTTCTCTTTAGAACTGCATCGCTGAGGCACTGGATACAGGATTCTGTCATTTTGTTTTGATTGATAATTGATAATTTTGTTTCCAAGCTTCATTTCCAATCTTCATTTTAGTTGACAAAGAAAATTATACACAACATGATGGACTTCTGAGCATATGCATGCTATCTTGGCTTTCTCTATGGATGTTCATTTTTCCTTTTTACTTGTTCTTTATACTCTTCCATGGGTTGTCATCATAATCTTTCAGTTGATGATCTTGCTGACATGCCATAAGTTCAATAGAAGTGCTATAGGAACAGATGTATTTGTCAACTTTTCATTTTTCTGTTTGACCACCAAAATTAGTCTAACCTATTTTTCTTCAGCATATCTCAAAAGCAGTTTTGCTGTCAAAATTGTAGGCTATTAAGATTGTATTTCTTTCCATTTTCAGATAATATCAGAGCATCGTAGCATTATTAGCTACCTGCAGAAGTTTCATCCTGATGAGCATGGACCTTTTGGGATTACAGCCTCATGTCTTGAAACATTTATAAAAAGCTGTGCTGGCTATTCTGTTATCACATATATTCTGGGTATCGGAGACAGGTATTGATTTTTTCATGCACACTATAAAATGTTATGTATATAATATACATGCAAAAATGCCCTGACATGCATACATACATAATGGTATTGATGTATGAACTATCAATGTACATATTTCAGTCTAATATCAGGCTTTGACCATGAATTTTTTTGCCTGACTAAAGGTTCAATGCAAGTTTGCAGTCAGGATTCCATTTTATGGTTATTTTGATATTGGTTCAGTGCTTTTTGGAATATGATGGGTCAAATACCTAACTATGCACTTAATCTTTATGCTAGAATTTCAATTTCCTTCTTAGGATTGTCAATGGTGTGTATTGTGAAATTCATTTGTGAAGATATTGATCTTTATTGGTTGCAGACACCTAGATAATCTTCTCCTCAGAGATGATGGGCGTTTATTTCATGTTGATTTTGGTTTTATTCTTGGCCGAGATCCTAAGCCATTTCCACCACCAATGAAGCTTTGCAAAGAAATGGTTGAAGCAATGGGTGGAGCAGAAAGGCATGTTATCCTTGTGAACACCTTTTTAGCCATTTTAAGTCTCCATATTTGTGATGTCAACTAGGTTTTTATATCCATAACATATAGTGACCATGGAAACTTGTGTTCTGCTGCAAAACCTCTTTAAGAAAGAAGATGGTTGATTAGCTTTTCCTTTTGCAGCCAGTATTATACGAGGTTCAAATCCTATTGTTGTGAAGCTTACAACATTCTTCGCAAATCTAGTAACCTTATCTTAAATCTTTTCCATCTATTGGCGGGTTCCAACATTCCAGACATAGCATCTGATCCTGAAAAAGGCATCCTTAAGGTGAGTTTTGTTATGTTTGTAATATAATGATTCTGCTGAAACATGTTCTTTTGTTTCTTTGTCATGACCAAGATTCTGCTGCTGTCACAGCTTCAGGAGAAATTTAGGTTGGATTTGGATGATGAGGCCTGCATTCACTTTTTCCAGGATTTAATTAATGAGAGTGTTAGTGCCCTGTTCCCTCAAATGGTTGAGACCATTCATCGGTGGGCTCAATACTGGCGTTAATCCCTGTAATTGGATTGGGGCTGCCTACACCTTAGTAAATGGGCAGGTAAATTTAACTTCTTCCTCTTGCCACTTTCCTCACTTGAAACTTTACAGGTTTTACATGTTACACAAAACCTACAGTGAATCTGACTGCTCCTTACAAAAACCTACAGTCAAGATAAGACAGCAGTTAGATATGACACACATGTAGGGAAATTTTGATCTTATGATTGTCCTCAACAGCTAAATAGAGCATCATGGTGATATATCCATACTCTCAATCTCATCCATATTGTGTTCTAAATGTTTAACCAATCCACCAGAAGATTTACAATGGGTCTGCCATTGATGCAGTCTGTTGTTCTTGAAGGAAGAAAAGATTTTAAAATATTGGTGTACGTGTACTTTGATTTTGCTGATTGGATTTATCATCTTAAACTAATGGGGATCCAACAATGGGGCAGGAGAATATGTTAGCTTGATGGTTCTGATCTTATGTGTGCGTGTAAAATAGATTAATCATAAAAAACTACTCGTAAAACTGAACTTTCCTCACTATTTTTTCTTGTTTCAGATTGGCTGCTAGTGTCAGGGATGAGATACCACCTACTCAGGATGCAAAAGCAGTATCCCACTAGCAGTAACAAGTTTGTAAAGTAATTGTATATTATCCGGCTTTACTCTTTTCATATAGGCTTGGTCTATTTGGATCTCACGGTGTAGCAAAAACTTTATCTGATGCTGGATTACTATTTATACGATAGCACGGATTTTGTTTAACTTTCTGCCTGGAGGATGTGCACTAGTGCTAATCCTCATGTATCTAGTTGTGCTGAGCCTTCAAATGCTCCCCTCCTGGAGACATGGATCGGTTTCAGAGTTTCAAATTGTATATAACACTATCTTCTCTCAATAAATTTGCATCGTTTCTTATTATCTTTTCGACTATTGATAATCCAAAGCTATGTCGTCCAAAAATTCAAGAAGAAGAAGAAAACCATTAAGAGGTGGATTGGCTAAGTAAAATCCACCCATCTAAGCGTTGTAGTGTAATTGTGAAGAGATTTTACCGCTCACTTTATTGTTTAAGATGGATTAAGATTTAGCTCTTAAACAGGATTTAACATAAATTTTTTTATAAATATTTTAGTCACGTAAAAAATCTAGTATTCAAATTAAAAAAGTTAAGTTAAATAGTTTATCCAATAATTATGAATATTTTCACATTTAGAAAGTTAATTTTCTCCTAAAATAATTTAGTAAGTTTATATTAGTATAATATGAGATTGAAAAAATTCAACATATTATGATAATTAAAATGTTAAAAATAATAATAAGAATTAATTTTTTTAATAAATTAACATGTAATAAAATTTATTAAAAATATTAAAATAATTTTATAAACAGTTTTAATATTTTATATATCAAAGTAATTTAATTTTTAATTTTTTTTATATAATATACTCATAACTTTTCCTTTGGACCAACAAAAATCCATATTAACACTTGCTTACCACCAGACAATCTGTTACGTAAAAGGCCACGTGGACAATAAAGCGAAAACTCTTAACAATTTTTTTTTTCAGAGTTTCGTTATAATTATAAAGTGGAAGTTTTTGCTCTTGGTCTATTGCCGCACTTACATGGTAAAGTTTGTGCTGCCACGTAAGTATCGGTGTATTTGTGTTAAAGGTTTGTTTAGTGTGCGCGTTAAGAATATGATTTAAATTTTATTAATTATAAAATTTGTAATTAATTGTAATTAATTTTATATAAATTTTTATATCAAATTTATAGTTTTTTTATAAGTTCTGAGTATAAATATTATATTATATTTTATTTTAATTAAATTTAATATAAAAGTTTGTGTAGAATTAATTGAAAATACGAGCATTTAATGAAGTTTAATTTATATTTTAAGAACACAGGTTAAAAAATTCCTTATGTTGATTAGCATTCATTTAGTAAAGTGATTTTAGAGTAATGGTTAGTGGTTTTGTTCAAATTACTAAAAATAGGTATTTAGTAAATTTATATATTTCGTAACCGTTACAAATAAAACAAAATATTTGGTATAAATTTTTATTTAACAATTTGAGATTAACAGATAATGATCAATGTTTATATTGCTGACAGATTGAAAAAGTTAACTTAGATAATTTTTTGTACAAAATCGTTAATAAATTAAATTTTTTTAATTTTATTGACAAATTTATTTATTTTAATTTTTAAATTTTGTTGCTAAAATTTTTAATTAATATTTATCTAATAAGTTTCAATTTTATTTTTTTACCTTTAATAACATTAAGTGATTATTATATTTTTATTTTTTACATTAATCTTAATAGTTTTATCTTTTTATGATCTTTTTTTGA